TACCATGGTTTCAAACCCATTTATTTATTATTTATTTCATGGTAGGGAGCTTCTCAAACAATATAGAAGCAATTTTTTCAATTCAAATTGTTGAAGAGTAATGAATATCTAAATCACGGGATTGTGACAACGCCATCCCGTAAATCCCGGGATCGGAAAAAGCCGAAAAATTAACATCCCTAATTCGTACATACTTATGTACCCGCAAACATCCATATGTAAACATGTATGTTGTAAGCCAGTGGTGCACAGCGTTGGCAGAGCTCCCAATACAACCCTGCAGGGAAACCGCGGACTGGTGAATAAAATTTCTAGTTCCGTACTAGATCTTTATCGCCAAAAACGAACCAGTCCGATAGTAAGTAGATCCCCACCAGTTCAAAATCAGCGAAATGTGGGACTCTTAAAAACACTTTTTTATTTCTCTTTTTTCATAAGAAATCTATATCTAAAGTGACGAATTTAGAACTGGTTCGGAATTATAGAAAAACGGACGCAGAACGAACTAGATCTTATCTGTCGAATTTAGAACTAGTTCGAAACTATCGAAAAGTAATGCAGCGGGGGCTTGTTTAATTTACATAGATATGTGTTTGGCGGCTTTTTCGATCAAATGCACTTTTATTCTGCACTTCGCAGATGCTATTTCATAGTTTGGTAATACAAAACAAAACTTTGTGTTCACATATTAACATCTTGGAACCGTCTGGAATCTAACCAATAACAGCGAGCACCTCTGCAAAGTCAGCTACAGCCAAAGGTATGTAAACGTACATTTTTTACAATCATTCAAACAAATTTTATTTGAAATAGAAAAAAAGTTTCTTTGAAAATAATGTAAAATCGCCCACGGAAGAACAGAAAAGATGGAAAAATCATGATACTTTTTTCTTTCGTCTGGCGATTTTAAAACTGGTTCGGAACTATAGAATTTAGAACTAGTTCGGAACTATCGAAAAAGGGATGCAGCGGGGGCAATTGACACTTCCTAGGACATCGCCATGTTAAATTCGCCAGTTGTTTGTATGCAAAAGAGATTTATCTCGAACCAGTGCAGGGTCTAAACGTACTACAGGCGCACCAGCTCAGAATTAGAGATTTTCCCCACAGGGAAGCGCAATATTTTTGTATCTGTACGTGTGTATTCAGCAAAACAGCTCGCGCATGCGATGCTTACAGCATGAAGTACAAACGCAAACTAACCGGCTGCTAGCGGCGCATAAGTTCGGGCGGGTCGCAAAAACGACTCCCCTGCAGACCGCAAAAACGACTCCCCTGCAGACCGCAAAACGATATACCAGCGAACTGCAAAACGATGCTCAAAATTTATACCAGCCCCTCTATTCTAACAGAGTCCCAAAACTTAGCTCATAACTGTTGTGATTTCAAGTGCGCCGAGAAATGTGTCACAAAAAAATTCGATTTTGAGTGCTAGAAAAATACACAAAAATTTAAAAAATTGAATTGAAGCGGCATATTTTTTGAGCGGCAAGCTTTGAGGCGCGGTAGAAATCACAGCAGTGATGACCTAAAGTTTGTGACTTTGATTAAATCGTTTTTTAATCCCGCGATGCTGTTAAACGAAAAAGGTTCATTCATAATGAATAAAACTTCCGAATTAAGCATTCTACCAGAAAGTGCAGCTATACTAAAACAGCTAATCGAATAGGCAGCTAAACAGAATGTGCCGTAGTAGAATAATTTTAATTTAGAAATTTGATCGTTACCTTAATCCACCTAATATTAATAATGGAACAAGATTTGTAGTACAAGTGATTATCAATATATATTAGTTAAAGCACGATAAAGCTTAAAGTATGGCTCATAAGGATGCCTTAATGTAAACAAAGAAAATAGTTTGTCTCCTTTAAATTATACTGAACTGAATATTTATATTACTGTTTTTTATTTTGATTTGTTTACCCCGAACGACGTCGGGTGCTCTGCTAGTTTATACTATTTGTAAAAACACAGTTTACTGGCAGAGGAAAAAAGAACATTGATTATTCCAAAAATACAATTAAACCAAGGCACATTGAACAGGTTGTATCAGCATAGCAACTGATTTGATTTTTTTTTTCAAATTATTTGTTCTCGGAAATGTCTATTTTTAATTTCTTCTCACAAAAATTCGAAATTGTTAAAATCTATTTGCATGTGAAACCTTTTTCCATACAAAACCAGCGATGGAATAACAGCTTTTGGAACGCTCGCCCAACTCAGCAGCACAACCGCTGATTACTGGGCCTGGCACAGGGTGGATCAATGCTTCGAGAAGCAAAACAATTTACTAAAAAAGCGAGTTGCAACAATTTTCATTTTTTCAATTTAAATTTTTATCTTTTTTGTATTTCACATGGCACGCTTTGATGTAGAAGAAAAAAATCAGAGCAGTTTTTGACACTTTCGATACCAGAAGCAACAACAAAATACAGGCAAACCAAACCTGTTTGATAGGCCTTGAATTAAAAAAAATGTGATATAGTTCATATGAAGAAAGTAATATTCACAAAATATTTTTACTTATGAAAAGTCTAACAAAATATAGGGACAGCATCGTCTTTAATAATGCTCGCCATATTGAACATAGCGCTTTTGTATGAATTTTATCTGCATGCTTCTTAATATGTTAAAACCGTTGCTGGAAAACCTTAAAATGTTTGCATGGGATGATGTCGCAATAAACAGATGAAGTAATAAAACGGCCTTGTCGCTTTATTTGCTGACATTCGGCTGCCTTATAGTCACATTTTATAGGCAAGTTTTCAAATAGGGCAGTGGCACCTGGTAACTTCCACATGGGTGGGATGCATGCAATAACACCATACTCAATAATTCCCATTACTTGGACATTAAAAAGTAGTTTCAGAAGTGAATTAGTGTTATTTTATAATTTTTTTTTTCTAAACGGTTATAATGCCGCAGTACATAATTGCAAAAGGTGGGGAGAAGGGCGTGGGACGCGAGCGCGACCTCGAACTCAGCGCAGCGTGGCACGGGGCGGCACGCGAACGCGGACCGCTGCGACGCTGGGCACTTTCAAAATTGCATACTTACAAATCCGTCCTTTTAACTTGTTCATGTACTACTTTTTGTCAAATGGAACTGGGTGACTACCTATAAGCACCATTTTGCTTTATTACTCAATTGTTAAGTTTAAAAGTTGGTCTTATTGCTCAACGAGAAATGAAATAAAGCAAATATGTGTTATTTCACATTCAATTGGTAAATGACACAAATTTGCGTTATTGCCGTTTGTGTTATTTCACTCCCCCTAATTTAGCGTATTGAATTTTAACCGATTCATTTGGGGTATTCACAGCGGTATCGTATTGTTGTAAGTTGTAAAGTTTAAAAGCCAAAATAAATGTTTAGAGGACTTGAAACCACAACGAACTTTTTTTGTAGCACTGTGAAAATTCATAATATGACTTTTGAAACCCCCTTGATATATTTTTAGTTGTTTAAAGTTTACGACGTACAACAATACGACACTTACGACACCGTTGTGAATACTCCAATTATGAATCAATAATTAATTTTCGCTTAATTATCACCGTCAACTTCGTGTATAAGAACTTGCGACGTTACCCCGAGGGTACTGCGCTGTCGGCGTCACTCAGGCCTGCTTACAATGTAGTTTACTGAAGTGTGAAAAACAAAACATATAATACATGCGCCGGGTAATAAATTTGGGTTTCGTCCGGACTTGTACTTTTTTTACTTTAACGTCAATTTGAATTTTGTTAACCACTACGCAATCTTATACATCTTTCAGTCAAAAACTAGGTGTGTTATATGGCGTAACAGTGTTTTATTTTTTTGAATACGTAGTGTCATTACACCTAAAAAAGCTGTTAACATGCTCATGCTATGTATGTACGTAATCGAAAAATATATGTGCATATGGAATAGTATATACTATACATATGTATGTATACATATTTCTACGTAGTATACTTGGCATAGCTTTAATTTATGGCAAGTACCCTAATGTATCTTCCAAAGAGGCATTCAAAGCTGGATAATTATTGTGAACACTTTCGTCCATCTCCAGTTCAATCTGCTTAGCCTTTCCTTTAGAAAGAGTACTTTTTAATGATTCTGGATTTGCATTTCCTTTCTTTGTTCTCAATTTTCCCAATATATCGTCAGCACTACGGCATTTTTGCGATGAGCTTGATGATAAGTTCCAAGCACTGTGATCGTTGTGACGACGATCAATGCTTAAGGAATCGCGTTTTTTTTTCGCAATGGGAATATATTTTTGTATCCTCGCTTGGTTTAGGATTCAAAAACGGTTGTGGACACATGCTCTTAATATCAGTAGTTTGGCTAAGTTTTACATCAGCAAAAATAGCAGCTGCCTCTACGCTCTTTTTAACACTTAAAGCTTCGTGTGGCTGAACAGATTTGCCATTGCCATTGATCGTAAAGAGTTCATAGTCCAGAGCTAGTTTTTCTGCAGCTGTTCGGCCAGAAGTGCTATCTTGGTGTGCTTTAGAAGGATTTATTTCTCCAGACCCAGATCTTGTTGTTCGATTCTCCCGCGGGCAATAGCATTTGCTGGTGCTAACGCAACTATCCGTGTCGCACCAAGAGCTGTCGGACTGTGAGATGGCTGCGTCAGCACCAGGCAAATCACTCGGTCCCCCTTGTTCCACCATAGAACAATAGCATTTTTCATTTGAATTACACGAGATTAACGAATATCGGTTATTGTCTATACCGGAATGGCAAGATGTATTATGCCTATCGACGTTAGTTAAATGCTTTGAAAGAGTCGCGTTGGAATCTTTTTTCCGACAGAGCCTGTTGTTGATGTGATCTGTTCTAAGACTGCAGTAACATCTGTCAGCTGAAGTACACGTACATGATTCTGAGTCATAGCTGCACTCGGAACAAGAGACGTAGCTGCAATTGCAATTATTGTAATCTGACAAGTAACTTGTAGTACCTGCTACGTACCCGCTGCTGCTGTTTCTATTTAAGCCACGGAGGGTGTTGTCGTTGCGTACCACCGACACGTCCGATCCACTAGTTGCTACCCGTGTCTGCTGCTGTTCGTTTGGGTGCTGGGTAACGGATGGCTGATTTGTGGTGGTCTCACTAATGTAACGATTTTTGTATCCGACTTTTTTATCTATGTGAAGTTTAATTGGCTTCCCACGGCAAGATGTAAACTGTCCCAAATGAAAAACCTTTTTAAGGTTTTTTGTACCGAAAACTGCAGTTTTCGACTTTTTCTAAAATGTAGAACAAAGACAATGTACATACGTAATTTCTGTAATTATATGATTACCATTATGCGCACTTATTACTAAATATAATTTCAATTTATTTGAAAGCACTATCTAATCACCTGCGGAATCGAAGAACTATTTTGTCGCCTCAACTTTTTTTTCCTTTGTCGACGCATAATATTCTTTGATCTGTGGAAGAGCTCGTCTTTAGTAAGAGTGACCGCTAACTTGAGAAGAAATTCCTTGTAAATTGGTTTAAGGTCGTTAAATGACATTCCATCGGCGTCAATTATGGCATTAAGAATCTCGTCCAATGAATTAAGGTTTTCATGTAATCGAAATTCGTTAAAGAGTTCGCTGAACCCGAGTGGTGAACTAGAAATAAAATGCAAACAGTTGGGATTTTGAGGAATTGATAAGACATATTACACCACAAAAAGAACGATATAAAAGGGAAAATATTAGCAGTTCTTAGAAATAAATACATTTATTTCTCCCAGAATTTTCAGTACAATACTGGGCTGTGTATTTGGAATAGCACAATATGTTCATATCTGTGGGTGAAGGTCGCGTTTGTTGCACGGTATAATCTCTTCCATAAGTCAGCCCGAATAATATACTTGATAGTACCCTCTTATAATTATACAGCCTCAGCAGGCTATTATTTGTCAATGCTATTCGTATATGGAACACTATCCCTGCCTCCATATGAAGTGGACTAAATAAAAGAAACTTGAACAACACCATCTTTACGTAAGTATTTTCGTTGAATCAAAATTTACCTATACATATAGCTCATTTACCTCAACAGTGTCACAACTCAAAAAAAGCAAATATCAAGAAAAACGGCTTTAAAGTTTTGAATTTACATATCGTCACCTGAGTGAAAGACCGACCTATCTCGGCAGCCAGTTCGAAAACGCCCTATCACAAAAAAAAATGTCAAGAACGCCCTACTCCAGAATTTGATTGAAGAACGCCCTATTTCAGAATTTTATTGAAAAACACTCTATCTCAGAATTTGGTTGAAGAAAGCCCTATTGCCTAGTTGAAAATACATAGAAAATGTGCCGAGATAGGACTTTTTTGAATCGGCAGCTGAGATAGGGCGTTCTTCAACCAAATTCTAAGAAAGGACGTTTTTCAATCAAATTCTGAAATAGGGCGTTCTTGAAAAGTTTTATGAGTTTTCTCAGGTGTCGATATATTCCCAAAGTAAAAATTAACACATATTTTGTTCTGGTGAGAAAGGGGTAATCGATATAGCTATGAAATTTTTACACAACATAGAAGACGACGTAGCGGTAATTCTGCATACTCAACCCAAAATTTATATTTTTTGGATTATGACACTATTGAAGTAAATGAGCGATATGTATATTTGTACATATGTACATATATAACTTAAATTTTTTTCCTAATTAATTTTTGAACGTCAATTTGTTTAACCTTCGCTGTGTCGTATGAGTTGTTCTGTGCTCAAATGTACATATGTATAGTTAAGTAACCTGTAACTTATTCTTTATACCCGAGCGCACTTGTGCACAGGGTATTATAACTTTGTTCACATAACGGTTGTTTGTAACAGCCAAAACGAATTGAGATAGATATAGACAAATGTATACATAAATTATCAGAATGAAAAGAGAAGTCGATTAAGACATGTCTGTCTGTCTGTCCGTCTGTCCGTGTATACGATAACTATTTGGTATATAGATTGCTCTTTATCCAAGATTTATACTGAAAATGGGCGAAATCGGACTGTAACCGCGCTCCCTTCTAATACAACGATGTTTTCGAAAAATGCAAAAACTATGTTTAAGCTCCTACCGATTTGGATGTGGTGCAGGGTGCACCGAACAATCAAATAAATCAAAGATTTGTTGCTTTAATATATGTTCTTATGTATAATACTGATAAGTTCCGATTTATTCTCGTTTCAATATGGGTATACAACGTTGTAAATATGTAAAGGGAAATTCAATGTAGGTAATTGCCTTAGTGACTGAATTTGCAGTTAAGCAAATGATTATGGTGGCGGTCGCGAGTATACTGACTTTAGGCTGGCGCGGTCGGGTCGCCCCGCACCGTCGCTTACATGTACGAAAACCAAAACGACTCGTCACCTTAACCCGGTATTTCCCAGAACTTTTTTTGTCTTATATTTTGCTGAAAAGATGTAGACTTATGTATTTCGACCTCCTGAGCACGAATATGAAGTCCATTTTTCGGTACATTGTTCCACTTTTCCGGAAAATGCGAAAAACTAGCGTTACCATATGGTAACCCTGGGTCGCCTAGGGTACAAGTTTTTTCTTCAAGATAAAATGATTTTTTGACATGTTTTTTTTAATTCACAAGAATTGGCTGTTTTAAAACATGTTTATTAAGTAAGAAAAATATACATATATTTATGATAATACAAAAAGAACTGAAATAAATCACGGTTTGGTATGGTAATTGGCAAAACACTTTAAACAAAGTCCTACGTTGCATTTTATACATGCTGTCCGTACGTTAACTTTGCATCGTTCACCGGCACAATGCCTACGATTGGATGGACCTACAAAATGCCCAGTCTGATCATAACGTAGAGTGTATTCAACTCGACCTGGTTGTTGTGCATATCTGTGGGAGGGCATCGGACCACTTGATTTGGCTTTTGTACCGTAATGTTTACAGTAGTATACTGCCAGTTGTCGTCGAAATTCTAGTTGAGTCAGTGACGGCTGCGCTTTCCGATGAAGCTGCCAAGCATTTTGAACACAAGCATCTATCAGCCAGGTAAAAATGCTAGACCACCACTTTTTTCCTCTGTATGCGATACGGTATTGGGCCAAATTTTGGTCGAATCAGTCTACTCCGCACATATATTTGTTGTATTCCGTGATCGCACAAGGGCGGGATACATTTATTTTGGCTCCACTTGCCTTCGAATAACGCTGTGCCATTGATTTCGGATTTTCACCAAAGCTGGTAGATAACATGCAGACAACATTATTATCTTTTCATTTCACCAATCGAATTCCAGTGCTTCTCATCGCAATTGATTCCGAGTAGCCTCTTTCCATTGACTTGAAGTTTTTTTTATGCACCTGTGGACAGCTTGCTGGAATACGATTTTCGCGGATTGTTCCCGTAGCATTATATCCGCATAAGATACGCTAACAAAGGATAACTGGTAAACAGATTATCAAAGTAAAACGAAAGTGGCAGCGATTTCAATCTATCAGGAAAATCATCGATCATATTGATCAAAGGGGCGGCGCATTTTCCAAACTTGGCTTCATACTCAACATTCGAACGAGGATTCTTTCCCTGGTAAATTTCGAAGTTCACCAAGTAGCCTGATGGAGTGCAAAGAGACCACACTTTGTAGCCAAATCATAACGGCTTCCCTTTTATGAATTACTTACATCCATGTCTACCAAAATAAGATATCATACTTTCATCGAAAGAAAGATTTTGTTCGGCATGAAAATGTTTAATCATTTTTGCTTTCAAGTGATCAGTAAGGGGCCTCAATTTCCACATTTTGTCGGCATTTACACCGGTTTTAGAAGAAGCCTTGGAATTGTCTTCGAAGTGAAGACTTTGCAAAATATCTTGAAATCGATTCCGACGCATGGTATCACTTACAAGGTTGTTGCGAATGTCTTCATCCTGACTCCACAAATTTCTGTAACTGGCGTGATAATTGTAGCCAGTAATGATCAATATGCCGATAAACGCTCGAAGCTCACTGACTGTTATATTAGGGTTTGGTCCATTCTGTTCGATCGCATATACTGCACTTTGTTCGCAAATGTGTCCCAATAATGTGTCATCAAAAAATTTTTCAAATTGTTGGTGTGGTAGTAAATTACGACAATCTTCGTAATTTGCAACTGGAAAAATGGGAATAAGAGATGGCGAATCATTCTTTACCCATTCAAATGTTGCTTCCTTATTCCCTGGTGGCAATGCAACATTTGAAGGTTTTGGCCGCACTTTACGTAACCGCCTTCTGTCTGGTGATGTTGCACGATTGGATGTTGTCGGTTGCTCCTCCATTCCTTGATATGTGTCTTCTACCACAATAACGGGCAAATCTTTTATATTTGGAGCTGAAGAATTCAGGACTTAAAAAATTAAAATGATTGGTAAACTAATATTGTTTTCAAACATGCCTCCAATTTCATCTTCTTCATCAAAATTTTGTAAATGTCGTCCACTAGTCATTACAACTTCACAGCCGCCTTTTAGCTGAGCCGGGCAAACATTATCTGGGATGCCCCCACATTCGTCTTCAGCGTCATCTTCGCCCGATATGTTTCCATCTACAGGAGGTTCGATGTAAATGGCAGTTGGTATATCTGTTAGTTGATTTTGGTCTTCTGCTTCATCGAGCTCTTGAATGTAATCAAGCATTTGTTGCAACGATAAACCACTGAAACAGTAAAATTTATAAAATACCAAGAAAATATATAAATGAATATATTAGATAAATTTACAAACCAGCTCAGAAAATCACATGAAATGCGAAAAAACATGTACCCTAGGCGACCCACGATTACCATATGGCAACGACTTGAGTAAAATGTAAAAAAATTATACAAAAACACTTTTTTTGTACAAAAATAAATTCGCATTTCATAGTTTATTTCCTTAGCTGCCGACTAGTGTAATTATTAATAAAATTTCTTGAAAACGTATTGCTATATGCATATACTTACCGACGTGCCATATCGGAAAACGGGAATTATTAACTTTTTTTTTGTCACCTCAATTTGACATGCGTTAGCTTCGCTAATTGAACTCAGAATAACAGAAACTTTATTTTTTGGTAAGCAACAAATATTTTGCATTAGATAACGTTTTTCTCTTGTAGTTTTGTTATGTCGTTTTGGATTTATTCGTGTTAAAGTAACGGCATATTTTGCATTACCATATGGTAATCGTGGGTTATTTCGGGTTAACGTACGATATTACGTACAAAGTTGCAATATTAAGTAGTATTAAGTTAGAGGTAATGGCAAACCTCCGAGTGTATTTCTGTCATGAAAAGCAGCTTTTCATAAAAATACAATCATCGTTCGGAGTCGGCGTAACACTGTAGGACCCTCGGCTTTGTGTGACAACATCAAGGCGCACGCCACAAATCGGAGAAACTCGGCCAAACACTAATATATGTGTAAGCGCCAATTTATTATTATTATTATTAAGTTAGATATTACACTTTAAAATTGAATTTATGAAAGTTTTAGTTTTCCAACAATAAAAAATATCGTTTAGAAATTTATTAAATTTGAACCCATGTTCTCAACATGTCGGCCCGCCAGTGCCGGAAAAACATGCAGCAGTTGTTGTGGATTTTCCAGTTACAGGTACGCTTAGCTAAATAAGTCGCTGATGCACCGAACAAATTGCATGCTCTGGTTGTGTGGGCCGTGGCAAGGTAGTAGTTAGGCTGTCTTGTTTGGTCATCAGGAGGCCTGACCCGAGATCCCTGGTAAAAGAGGAGGGGAGACACACGACTGGAATTGCGAAACATCTTAGTTAGCCTGTGAAAGAGAGTCGTAAAATTAATTAGTTGGGAAACATAAGTGAAGTAAATTGAACTAAATGTGCGTTTGAGAGAGCTATTGCGTTAAGTGAAGGGTAAATAGCTTGTGATTCACTAAATTTTTAGTTACTGAGATATTCCTATTAACATTCTGCTGTTGGCGTGCCTTTAGAGTGGAGCATGTGACCTCAACTTTGGGATGTGCGAAAGTGAGACTGGTCCTCAATTAGCCGGTTGACGATGACTTTTCCTGCGAATGTGGCTTGTGATGATAATGACCACCGATGTACGGAATCAAAGCGGTCATCTGAGTCGGGCTGCATCGAAGTTGACGCTGTGATTACTGCGGGGAATCGCAAGGCTTCGGGGTTGAAGCACAAGTAAATTCATGAGAGTCCTTAACGGGCTGCGAACTGGCACTGCTGAAGAGGAGATTGATTCAGTTGAATGAGGTGACAACCGAGAAATCTCGCCGGATTCAACAACGCTTCGTCTTGTACCGTCCTCGAGATAGGTGACAGGCGTAGAATTTGGTTGCTGCTGATAGAGTAGTCTTTATTACATAACCATGATTTGGGGTAAGAGAGTAGTGCTGGCAATGGCTTCAACGTCTGCGGAGTTGAGAGTTGAATTTATGCTTCCGTCAAGTAACTGACTATTCCGAGTTTTTATTGGCGGTAGTCCCTTCCGGGCCGGAAATAAAAAATAAATGATAAATTTTGGGGCAGATATAGGGTGGGAGTAATTTTATTTTAGAGCATCAGAGGATTCTATGCCTTTATTGTATTTTGGGGTAGAGCTTCGAGCAAATCTTATATTTCGTGAAGCATGTTTCATACATTTGATTTGCGGAGTAACTAGATTCAGTAAAGTGCGGGCTCGGGAGAAGTCTAAAGAAGTCCATGATACTTTCCCAATTTGTATCCAAAAGGTCCAATTTTACCTTTAACAGCGACGCTGAGAGTTTCGCTGTTGAGCGTGAAGACCATCTTTGGCAAAATAAATCCAATATGTGGCATTCAAACATAAAATCTTTATAGAGTGCACTTAAGGATAGAGTTTGTGGGCGATTTTCCATTATAAGAATATATAATTATTGTGAGATAGAAAGGATGGAGTACGGTAAAAAATGTCGAAATTAATTATTTATGTTAATGCGTGCTTGTTTATTTATTTTATCCCACTGTGCTATTTTACTTTTCTTGTTACACTGTACCGCCTTTGTTTGTACAGCGCAATAGGGAAAGAGTTGGGGATTGGGTATATATGTACGTGTACGTATGTATTTAAGTAAGCGTTAGTATATACATATATGTAAAAATCAAACTTGAAAGGGATGAAGGAAATTCGTTCCGAAATAAATCATATATGTATATGGCTAGCAAACTAGGAGAAAGACAGATCGAAAAGGTGCAACTTTACTTTTATTAGGGTGGGACGTATTTTAATTTGGTTGCGAAATCAAGTCGACGACACGAAATAGCAATGTATTTGTACATATATTTAAATGTATTTATCATTCATACTTACACAAGTGATAATATAAAGGCGGAGTGGATCCTTTTTAGGCACGGTGCACGGTTTGCTGAACGAGGTGAGATTAGTATTGCAGGTATTTTTTGCAATAAGCATGGCCGTTTCACAGGAGGAAGCATCTTCCTCAATTTTTTAGTCGAATTAATTAAAAAAAACCCATTCTTATAGAACTTTACAGAAAAAAATTACTGTAGAACAAGCATGACTAGTTTGGCATGGAGAATTTTAGCGTCCACGACAACAAGTAACATCCGAGCTGTATCTTTTTTATTACCTGAAAACTTGGATAAAAAAGAGCCTAATACCATTAAAAAAATAAAATTGCAGTATTGTAGATTTGCAAATTTTATATTTAAAAATTTAATATTGCATGTTTTGAAACAGTAAGTTTTACATAGCTAGCTTTTTTTAGCTTTTCGCGTTCTCTGCTCTAAGAAGATTGGTTTGCTTCTTCTTTGCGACCTCTTCCACTAGGCACCGAAACTACCACGTTTTCTTGCAGTTTTCTAAGTTCATACGAAGAGGAGACATTTGAAAGTGTATAAATAAGTATTATAGCGACTTTTGCAAGAGTAGTTTACATTTCATGCTATTTTTTTCACAATATAGACAAATTTTTCACTCTGCTGTTAGTGGACATGAAACCCACCAAAAACTAAAAATCTAAAAAAAAATTACATAGCGCACTTTGCAAGTGGACAACTCAATTGTTGAATATGCTATCTTATTTGTACCTTCTTTTTATACAATTAAGGAGCGGCTGAATGGTATAACGATGTTAGCGGTACATAATGATATGCCGATTACAATACAAGAAGTAATTGAAAAAATGTGTGTTAAGACTTGTACGTAAATAAATGTAAACAGATACGCGTAAATATATAAATATGCAGATATATTCAACGTGTAAAAACTGAAGTGTATACTAACGAAACTTCTACAAAACAAAACTGGACTACACACTTATTAATTAAAATGGTGTAGTAATTTAATTTTTTTAATTTAAATAAATTTCCCAGGGAACAACCGAGTAGACAAAAAATATGTAACGGTAAAAATGGCACATACATACATATATGAAAGAATGACCACAGGCGACGCACTATAGGCAAAACACGAGTTTTTTTTCAAAATCGTGTATCTTCGCTTAGAAAAGAGACAATGGAATACAGCATTTAACCCTTTAATGCAGGGTATGTCATATATGAAACGCTTTTTAACCCTTTCAAGGCAGAGGAAAAAGGTTACCAATATGCTTTTGCACGTGCTTTTTCTCATGTTGATGTAGATATTAATCGTAGAATTTTTTTTCATAGTAAAATAATAATAAAAAAAAATAAATAAAATAAAAATAAAATATTAAAAATAAATCAAAAATAAAAATAAATAAAAAGTACGTTGAAAACATATTGAGAACCATTTTGCCTCTGCCTTGAAAGGGTTAAAAAGCGTTTCATATATGACAGACTCTGCATTAAAGGGTTAAATGCTGCACTTTCGTAAAGATATCGACCAGTATAACCATTTTTTT